CTGCGCGGCCCCGGGGCAGCAGGCACTGCCCCCGCTCGGGGCCGCCCGGCGGAGGCCCCCGGGCACCGGGGAGACGTGCAGGTGTCGAGAGAGACGAGTTTTGTCTGTTTGTCTCCGCAAGGGCTACAGGACCCACAGCAGCCAGGCGTGTTCCTCACAGCTGGGGGTCGGCCACAGGTTTTCCTGTCAGCCCCCGGGGCAAGAGGCTTGGAAAGTTTCGGGAACGCTGGTGGTGACATTTCCAGAGCAGTGCAGCTGTAGGCACGACCATCAGCTCGACATCTGTCCTTGAATCCTGCTAAAAAATACCCTGCTTGCTTTGAATGGATGCTTGAACCTCTGACTTGTAGAAGATACTGGTAGGAAATGTGTTCTCTTTGCAAACGTCCTCTAGAATAAAAACTGCATATTCTCTTTTCTGCTCGTATGACAGATCTGAAGGGCTTCAGGACATGACCTTTGACTCTTCTGCTTCCCCAGGCTGCATTCAGGGAAGAAGAAAGATGGCATTGAAACCATTTACATACCCGCTGCCTGAAACGAGGTTTCTTCATGCAGGCAGGCTTGTGTACAAATTTAAAATCCGTTATGGCAACTTCCACAGGTAAGTGTGTGGAAGCTGCAGGTTGACCTGCAGTTTTGCCACTCACTCAGCTCCTCCATCACACAGACTCTGGGATGGGGAGGTCAAACCCAACTAGAAGCTCATTGGTTGAGACAGGACAAGGAGAGGTCTTCACCGATTAAGGTCCCAGGCAAAACGGACTTGGGGAAAAATAACAATTTAATTTTACACTAATTAGATGCACACAGGACACAGACAAACAGAGCAGTGCTTGCATGTTACCCCACTCCTCCCTTCTTCCCAGGCCCCAAACCCCTTTTTTCATGGCAAGGAGGTTGCAGCAGGGCTAAAATGCTGTAGGCAATAACTTAAAGCATCTGCCTAGAGTGGTTTTGGGAGTGTGAGAGGATTTCCTTTTGCACAGATGTGGATATGCACAGACGTGGCCAGAGCCTGGATTTGTTCTGGAAGTGACTGTCCTAGGCTGCAGAAGAATGCACAGAATGTGCTATGAATGCCATAGCAATTGCACCTGTCTCCAGACCTGAAGTTACAGGAAATCTCATGCCACACGTCTCCTTTTCCCTTTGTAGACGCAGGATGTCATTTGTAATTCTGTTGCATGACTTTATTTTAGGATGAATCAAAAGGCAGTTGTTTCTTTAGGTTTGCATATTAGTGTCTTCTCGGAACAGTGTCAGATGCAAGAAGCTTAACCTTCCTCCTTGTTTTGTTCTCTGTGTTGATTTTGGAGAGTGTTGTCGTTCCTTGTCTTTCTCCTGGCTGGTTTGCCAATAATGTGGTGGTTTGGGCCCAACACGACAATAAAGGAACAGCCCCATGGCCGCTCACTCAACTCCCACAAACACACACTGGGGTGAGAGGACAAAGCTCATGGCTTGAGACGAAGGACAAGGAGGGTTCTTCACCAATTAAGGTTCCCAGGCAAAATAGACTCAAATTGGGGGGGTGGAAATAATTTAATTTAATACTAATCAAATACACACAGGACGCAGACAACACAAAGAGCAGTGCTTGCATGTGTTACCCCACCTCTCCCTTCTTCCTGGGCCCAAATCACTTTGTTCCCCATTTCTCTCCCTCCTTCCCCCCAGTGGCACAGGGGGATGGGGTTTTGAATCAGTTCCCAGGCTGGTGGTTGCTGCTGCTCCTTCATCCTCAGGAAGAAGGATTCTTCACAGTCCTGTCCTGCTTCCCTACGGGTCCCTCCCATGATCCCAGATCCTCCACCAACCTCTCCTCCAGGAGCCCTTCCCACCAGCCCAGAGCTGCTCCAGCGCTGCCCGCAGAGTCAAGGGGGCTTCGGGAACGGGCACCTCCCCTGGCCTGGGGGCTTCCACAGCTGCACCATCCGAGTTCACTGGCAGCAAATCCGAGGCCACTGGACAAGTTCACCCCTCCTGGTGCCTTCAGGGAGTGTTCCACCACATTTCTCCATGAGTGCAGGGGCACAGCTGCCGTCTCACGATGGGTTGCACGGAAACTTCTGCTAGGTCACCTTCTTCCCCTTCCTCACCAACCACCAGCACCGCTTTCCCTCTCCACTACAGCTCTTCTCATTTAAGTGTTCCTTTGCTCAGCTCTTATCTCAGTTCTTTCATATCTTAATGGCAGAGGTTCATCTGTTGTCCCTCTAATGGCTTCTTGGCTGGTTTGGAGCAGGGGGAGCTTCTCAGCTTCTTGCTGGAGTCACCCCTTCCCCTGCTACTAAAAACCCACCAAACCAGGACAGAGAGGAAGGTGTGTAGTGTGTCTTGTGGTGTCACTGTAGTGTTCAGGAGATCCTTGAGATATTGTTCTTGTCTGTGAGTAAGCTCTTTCTGTCAGCATCATCCCTTTGGAAAGCACTGCTAGTATTGTGTGTACATTTCTGAAGAGCCTGCAGGGGATTTGATCTGATGGAGATCTCTGGTGATGAGATCATCCCATCATGATCTCCTGATGATCTTCTGAGGAGGGCACTCCATTTGAGTGCAGCAGTCTGTAATTGCCCCTGCATGTCTCACAGTTTGTGTGCATTGCAACAGCAGTTCTTGCAATTAATTGTTGTACTTGAGGGAACAGGATGTGAGACTCGAGCAGCACCTTTTGTGTTTCATCATAGCTTCTGGAATTGTTAGTGAGATCATCAAGTTGCTCTTCACATCAACGTGGTCAAACATGGCAAAAGCAACTCCTTTTACAGCAAAACTGGTGACATTCTTCCCCATTGTGTCATGGTTGTAGTGAATAGGGGGTATTTGTTCAAAGCATCTGGGTTCACTCCCAATCCATTGGAGAGAGTAAAGGGGTAAGTCGTAAGTGCCTTATGCCCACAGCAATGCTGTCAGTCAGCCTGAAGATTTGGGAGGTGAAACTTGTTTTCCCCACAAGAAGGTGGTGACTTTGTTTTTGCATCTCTGCACTCCAGGATAAAATAAAATTATCACCTCCAGTCACTGCCCAAGCCTCCCTCAACCCAACCAGTGAACCCCCCACAGTCAGCAGGGCTGACATCCCCACCATGGGCCCCTTGCTTTCTGCCAGCCCATGGATTATAAATTACCTTAATAGAGGAATTCTTCTGCCTGCTGAGTATTTTCTCTCTTCAATAGGAATGGTGTTTTGTTGCTGTTTCAACTTTTACAAGGAGTGGAGCTCCATTGTTTTTTTGGCTGGGGTGGAACTGACTCTCTGTTTGTTTCACAGTGCTCCTGATCTCAACAACACTGAAAGTGCTGTCAAGGAGTTAGAGGTAGGAGATTAAGCAGGTCTACAGGACTTTAGCTGAATGCCAGGCTGAGCAAGTCTGTTTGTTGTGAGGCTGAGGATATTTTGTTAAATGCAACATTTGAAGTGAGAATAATGGGGATCTTCTCTGGCTAGTAAAAGGGAGAAAAAAATGAGGTAGCTGAAAAAAGACATCAACAGACAGCATTAGCACAGAGAGTAATGCTTCTATTTGAAATATTTCAACAAAGCTACAGACTGTCCAAACTGGACAACTGTTTGCTGAGCTAGTTGCACCCGTTCCTTTCTGACCTCGGTGCAGGTTCATTCTGCAGTGGCACTTACCCCAGCCCCAGACCTGACCCACTGCTTTTAGCTCCTCAGGCTGGACCAGCTGTCAAACCCTCCTGTTGTTTCTTGAGAAGTGACCATGTTGATGAGTGAGTGTGACAGAGGCTTTGTTATTTTGTGACCATTCTTAGTCACAACCGATGAGTTCTGTTGTTGTCTTCTTCCTGAGACAGAAGAAAGCCCCCGCCATTCCCAAATGTACTGCCTGCTTAAAACAGCTTCTGTGTCTTAATTTTTAAAAAACTTCAGAGTACAGTAATAGCATTATAAATATTATTGAAGAATATATTCTGGTTGTAATTTATATGGAAAGCTATCCTTTAATTATTATTTTTTCACCTTTGACAATATTGAAAGGCATTATTGGGCAAAGATTCCTGTTCACAACGCAGGAGTTTTGTGGGGCTACATTACAGTTCCTTTGTAATTAAATTGGGTCAATATTTAGAAAAATATTAATATCTATTTTTGAAGCAGGTCAGTACTGTGTGTCTTTTGCTGGCAAAAAAAGGAAACTTCTTAAATTAAATATTTCTTAAATTTAAAAGCATGATCCATTCACCATAGTAATGCTTCTGTGTTAATTCAGGATTAAGATGTGAATTCACTTCAGTTTCTATGAGTCTTTTGGTGCAGCACACTCGAAGGGCATGGGTGGGAGTGGGGAGAAGAAGGTGAGAGGCAGAATACCTAGATTCTGCTCTTCCATGATCCATGCAAGCTGTAATTTAATTTAAATTTTTTTCCCAAACCTTGAAACTGTGCTTCACAGTGGGATTATTTGGGCTCTATTGTTAATATTCTTTCCCCATTTCTTTTTTTTTTTTTTTGACTCTACAGGAAGCGATTCGAGTAATCCTTGGAAATCTTGATAATTTGTGCCCATTTTCTACTGACCACTTCACTATCTTTCCCTGTATCCTTTCTTTCCTACTTGTAAAAGAAAAGACTCAATGACTTGTATCTGTTTGGCATAGCTAAAATCCACCTTCCTGTCTTGTAGTGTGCAGATCTTGTAGTGTGTTGGAGCACAACTCCTTTGAGCTTGGCAGTTTGACATTAGCTTAAGATCCTGCTCAGTTGTTGCCTTCCCCAGAGAGAGAATTGATGTGCAAAGAGTGTTTGGCAGTGTTTTCAGATGAACACCCCAGTGTTCCAAATCAGATTTAGTTAAAGAAAATGAATGTGTATATTCACAGAAGCCCACTGACAAGATGGCAAAGCTAGTTCAGTGTTTCCAAAGGGTGATAGAACATCAAGCCCTCCTTATGGGTCAGCAGTGTTGGCCCACTAGTAGAGAAGGCATTTTCTTGTCAGGTACATTAGGGTGAAATGTTGTAGTGGCCTTAGTGTAAAGGGTTAAGAAGAAGTTGCTCTCCCAAGATTCTTCTTGGAAGCAAAGAAAGTTAACTGACAGAGAAGCCTTTTCAGTCCTTTTGTATGTCAGTTTGTGAATCAGATCAGGCCCTTTGGCATCACCTCCTCTGATTCAGGGTGCCCAGGAGTAATGAATATCCATGAGTTCCTGCCTGCAAAGCATTCCCTCCCAGTCTTGGGAGACTGCTTTGTATGACCTTGTAAGAGCAGGCAAGAACAAGGGACATCCTCTTTCTCTGCCAGAAGCTCGTGTGTACCACAGTGGCATCATTGGGCAGGAGGCACCCAAACAGATGAGGCCTGGCTGTTGGTTTGCTTCAGTAAAGCTCAGCCAGTTTTGCCTGCGTGATTGAGGAGTGTTTGACTAATGAGCTTATACTTCCAGAGCTGGGAAATGCATCCATATGTCCAGCCACAGCTGGGCCCTGGTGAGAACTGCAGGCTCAGAGCCCTGGCATGGGGAGTTGGCTTGCAGTGTGTATGTTGGTCTCCTTGCTGTAAAGGAGCAATTTCATCATCTCATTGTGTCAGGGTTTCATCCAGACAAATGTCGGGCTCCCTCTCCAGTCTTCAGGATTTTCAGGATGTAGCAAATGGACTAAAAGGATTCACATTACATGTTTCTTCTTGAGATCATAGCCATGTAAGGAGACTCTGGTCTCACCTTCTCCATTCTTGTGTGCATGAGCTCCTGGGTGTCAGAACTGCACACTCAGGAAGGAATGTCTGTAACTGTGGTGGTTGTCATGTCAATTACCTTTTTTCCTCCCATTAAGTAAACAGAATTATGCTACTTTGAAATAAACAGGTTTTAGTTAGGAAAGCTGGTGAGGTTTTAGTCATAGGGTTAGGAGAGCCTGGCATGTTGTTTCTTGTGGGAGAATGTCAGGACTGAAGGCAAATGCAGTTAGGGAGACACAACACCATTAGTAAAAATGACTGATAGGAGAGTATCTGCTGGATGAGTATTTCTTGCAATGTGTTACTAGTATTTTTTCACAGATTTCATCCCAACAGAATGTGTTTGCTCCCTTATGTGCCATGGGGTGTGACTTTGGAAGCTTTACAAAAAGACACTGCCATGACTTCTGCTTCTCTGAAATGTTCTTAAGTCTTATTGATGTTCTCAGATTTAAGTAAGTGGGAGAGAGTATCAAAGATGAGATTCAAACATAAGAATGTCCATCTTGTGCCGTATCCCTACATTTGCACGATGTATTTAGAGCTCAACTCATTTCAACAAAACTTATCTTGTGGTAAGTCTGTATGGTTATATTTGGATAATTTCTAAAAACTTTTGTGGTCTGTGCCTTGCTTTTCCCTTTCTCTTCATCTACTGTGTCTTTGAATTAAGAGAGAGCAAAACTGTGTGCACTATGGCTGTACCGTGGTTTTGAAACAGAGCAGAGGAGTGTGTTCTCTATTGGCCAGTGTTGCTTTTCTAAAGTTTCCTGAATTTCTGTTTTCCTTTTCACCCCTGGCTGACTCTGTAGCTAATATTTGTATGAAGCAATGCCCAGTGGCTCCCAACCTTCATTCCGTAGCATCATGAGCCAGGCTGGAGCCAGCACCTGTATGTGGAACACGTATTTTTCTTCCTGGTGCTTGGCTATGTTTGTTGACATTGAAATTCACACT